ATATAAAAATTTATCAAAACATATCAAAAATTTGGAAGAAAATTAACTCAAAATTTAAATTCTCCAAAGTATTTCACAAAAAGAATAACTCATCTTCCTGACACACATGATGACAAAAGGTTGTGGAAGAGCAAAACATTAAGAAATTGCTAAAATTTGAGGGAAAATCGAAACCCTACCTGAGTCAAAGAAGCCAGATGTTCTTCCTTCAAAGAAAAGTATTATGGGTAACCTACTTATCAAAAACATGACAAAAAATAGAAATCCTAACAACAACAGCCGCAACCTGATCTACTCTAAACTTTGGAAGTAGATTCAAATTTCTAATAGGTAGGGATAGAGTTCAAATCAACAAATGAAAATAAATGGGTCACTGGTAAAACCATAGATGCATAGCTTCCGTAATAAAAATTTTCTTGGAAATAATTAAAAAGAATCCCCAATTGTGAAGTAAGGATGTTGTTCTGAAATTGCAGCACCGCTTGCAAAATATTAGACTATAGAGACGATGGATGAGTATAAGAAGGAACGAGAGAGATATGACAAGTTCTTGCACAGCTATCCCATGGAGAGTCCACCGCTATTGAAAAACAAATTTATTTAATATCTCCAATATTACAGATCTAGGGCAACAAGAATCTCTTTTAGAAAGTTGGAGAGCTTTTTTTATTGTTTATGAATTTTTTTTGGTCAAATAAAATTGGGATGGAGAATTAAATTTGTTGCAGGGAGAAAAATATTTTAGTTAAAACACTTTCTTGGAAATCTTATATCGTGTCATTAGAGTATAATTCTGGTATTCTTTTGCATCTAATCCTATTGTTGTAATTAAAGGAAAAATGAACACTCGAGGGAATGCGGTACAAAGGCTTCAAGAGGAGATTTTGAATGCGGGAGCTCCTCCCCGTGGTGATCAAGTTCCTTCTCTTGAAGAAGAAGCCAATGTTGAACAAGCTTCAGTTAATCCTCCACCCTTGATGGATGTTGATATAAGGGCATCCCTTATCCTATTGGCCCAAGCTGTCATTACACAATCCCTAGATATGACGGACCAAAATAACCGGGAGGTTATACCACATCCGAATCAACAAGTGATTGCTATTGCCTCCTGTCTAAGGGACTTCACTCGGATGAACCCTCCTACTTTCTACGGGTCAAAGGTTAAAGAAGACCCCCAAGAGTTCTTCGATGATGTCTACAAGATACTATTGGATATGGGGTTGTCCACAAGTGAGAAGGCCGAGTTGGCCACTTATCAACTCAAGGACGGGGATCAAGAATGGTTTGTCCAATGGAGAGATAATATGCATTGAGGGGTGGTCCGTTGACTTGGGAGATCTTCAAGAAGGATTTTCTTGATTGGTTCTTTCCTAGGGAGATGAGGGAAGCTAAAGTGGTGGTGTTCATCAACCTTCTCCAAGGAGGTATGAGTGTTCATGAATACTCCTTGAAATTCACTAAATTGTCGAAATATGCTCCTTCTCTGGTTTTCGACCCTAGAGATGAAATGAGACGCTTTGTAATGGGGGTGTTGGATGATTTGCAAGAGGAATGTCATTCATCCATGCTACATGAAAACATGAACAATTCTCGTCTTATGGTGCATGATAAGCATGTGGAAGAGGCAAGGGCTAAGAGGAAAATTAGATATGCTAAGAGCTCAAGATCTTTTGATGGAGGTTCTTAAAAGAATAGGCTTGAAATACAAGACAAGACTAGATTTAAGAAGCAAGTTTCTAATCAAGTTCCTTCCAAGTTCCCTAAGACTAGTGGTGATACGGTGTCTAAACCTAAGCCTATGAAGGGAAAGGTACTAGTTCACCAATCGAGAAGACAACTTGTGGAAGGTGTGGCAAGAAGCATTATAGTGATTGCCTTAAGGGGACGGACAATTTTTTTAGTTGTGGTAAAAGTGGGCACAAGGTTAGGGATTTCCCTAATGTGAGGGGTCAAGACGAGGGTAGTTGTAAAGCTCAAGCAAGTTGTTCAAATGAGGCTCCAAATAAGAACAACTTCTATGCTCTCCACTCTAGGGGTAAGCAAGAGACTTATCCCGATGTGGTGACCGGTATGTTGATATTATTCTATATTGATGTATATGACTTGCTCGATCTCAGTGCTACTTTATCATTTGTTATTCCTCTAGTAGCCAATAAGATTTACATTTTGCTCGATATTTTGCATGAACTTTTTATCGTGTCTACTCCGGTGGGGGAGTCGGTTGTTGCAAAAAGAGTGTATAGAAATTGTCCTACAATGTTGCCCAGTAGAGTTTATTATGTTGAACTAGTACAACTTGATATGCTTGATTTTGATAATAGTTTGGGTATGATTGGTTATATGCTTGTTTTTCCTCTATTGATTGTAGAACACGGTTGATGAAGTTTAACTTTCCAAATGAACGCGTTGTAAAGTGGAAGGGGGGAAAAACTATTCCTAAGGATCGTATCATCTCTTGTTTTAAAGCATGCAAAATTATCTCTAAAGGTTGTTTATGGCTTGTTGGAAGAGTTCAAGGTCTAAACTCCGAAATTCCTTCCATTGCACCAGTCCCCATAGTGAGTGAATATGTGGAGGTCTTTCCTAATGATCTTCCTGGTATTCCTCCCGAACGAGAAATTGATTTTGGTATCGATTTTCTAGTGGATACAAATCCCATGTCAATTCCTCCTTATCGGATTGCTCCGGCTGAATTTAAAGAGTTGAATGCACAACTCAAATATTTACTAGACAAAGGATTCATAAGACGTAGTATTTCTCCATGGGGTGCTCCTATTGTGTTTGTGAAGAAGAAGGATGGGTCTTTATGAATGTGTATTGATTACCCCCAACTCAATAAAGTAACAATCAAGAACAAATATCTTGTCCCTTGGATTAACGACTTGTTTGATCAACTCCAAGGGTAAAGCTACTTTTCCAAGATTGACTTGAGGTCGAGGTACCACTTACTTAGGGTGAGAGGTAAAGATATACTAAAGACGACATATCGGACTAGATATGGTAATTATGAGTTCCTAGTACTGACATTTGTTCTCACTAATGCTTTGGCGGTGTTTATCGACCTTATGAATAGGGTGTTTCAAAATTACGTTGATTCCTCTTTCATTGTCTTGATTTCCGACATCTTGGTATATTATAAAAATGAGGGTGAGCACATGAACCATTTGAGGATGGTGTTGCAAGTACATAAAGAACATCAATTATTTGCCATGTATAGCAAATGTGAGTTTTGGAAGAGGTCGGTGACATTTCTTGGTCATATCATCTCTCTGAGCGAGTTGAGTTTGATCCAAGTAAAATGGAGGCGGTAAAAAATTGGCCTATACCATTGTTTCCAACCGACATTAGGAGTTTTTTGGGTTTAGCGGGTTATTATCGGAGATTTGTGAATAGTTTTCCGTCCATTGCATCTCCCTTGAATACTTTGACCCAAAGTGTATGAAATTTGATTGGTCGGAGGAATGTGACAGAAGCTTCCACATGTCGAAGGATAGACTTACTTATTCTCTAGTATTGATCTTACCATAGGGTACAAAGGGTTTTGTTGTGTATTGTGATGCATCCCGAGTGAGTTTAGGGTGTGTGCTTATGCAACATGTAAAGGTTATTGCCTATGCTTCTAGACAACTTAAGGTTCAAGATACGAATTATCCATCTTATGACCTTGAGTTAGCAGCCGTGGTTTTGCGTTGAAAATATGAAGGCATTACTTGTATGGTTTCCATGATGATATCTATACCGACCATAAGAGTCTCCAACATGTGTTTACCAGAAAGGAGTTGATGTAACATTCCAGAAAATCATACGTTTAATGAAAACCCCATTAGGTTCTTAAGAATGTGTATCATGGGTAAATAGGCATCTAAACCAATATTTAGAAATATTGGGCATATTAGAAAATTATGGGCATTGTAGAAAATGTTGGCTTACAGAGTGTTAGCTAAACTCTATGAGTTTGTGTAATGAATATACCTGAAATGAATACCCTAAGCTAATTAAAAGTCGTCTTTACAAATCACACAAAGTACTAGGCATCCAAGTGTCAAGCCTAGTACCATAGCACATGATCATTTAAAATGATCATGTATATTAAGCAGTGCTCAAGGACATAGTGAGGGTCATTGGGACAATAAGTAACATTCCCAAATGAAACATAAATAATAGTAAGTAAGAAAAGTACAACAAACCCATGTTCCAGAACATGTGCAAGACGGCGTTCCACGGGCGTATCGAGAGCCCGGGCTTTGCCCCCCCCAAATCCACGCTGGTCCATGCCCCGATTCGATCAGCGGACTGGCGCGTCACCGTTCCACATCCGACCGGGGCGCATCGTCGGCCCCCATCCGCTTCCCTCCCGACAATTACAAGCACTCTTTGACTCTCTTTTCAAAGTCTTTTTCATCTTTCCCTCGCGGTACTTGTTCGTTATCGGTCTCTCGCCAGTATTTTGCCTTGGATGGAATTCACCGCCCTATTTGGGCTGCATTCCCAAACAACCCAACTCGTAGACAGTGCCTCGTGGTGCGACAGGGTCCGAGTACGACGGGGCTCTCACCCTCTCCAGTACCCCCTTCTAGGAGACTTGGGCCCGGTCCACCATTGAGGACGCTTCTCCATACTACAATTCGGACGACTTAACCGCCCGATTCTAAGGATGATTTGTTCTCGGTTTGCTCGCCGTTACAAGGGGAATACTTGTAAGTTTCTTTTCCTCCGCTTATTGATATGCTTAATCTCACTGGGTAATCCCGCCTAACCTGGGGTCGCGGTCGGAGCGCCTGGTGAGGCGAAGTGAGGGTCGGAGAGTCTTGACTTGCGACGGGTTGTAGCCGCGACAACAAGAGAGAGTTGAGTTTCAACCACCACTTGCCGCGACGTCCGTCGATGTGGACTCGTATTTAGGCCAGCCGCGCGCTCGGGGCGCACCGAAGGACATGTTCCGCCCCTGCGCTTAGCCTTGGGGCGTGCGGCGGGGGAGGGGGGCGACGCGATGCGATGCGTGATGCCCAGGTAGACGTGCCCTCGGCCAAATAGCTTTGGGTGAAACTTGCATTCAAAGACTCGATGGTTCACGAGAATCTGCAATTCACACCAAGTATCACATTTTGCTACGTTCTTAGTCGATGTGAGAGTCGAGATATCTATTGCCGAGAGTTATTTCTGTTTATAGAGCAGCGCACATCCCCTCCCCCACGATCCGCATATGGGACGTGAGGGGAGGACTGTTGGTTGTAGTATTCCTTGGCGCTTTCCGCGCTGGGGTTCGTTGGTCGCCCAAAGAGCTTACGCGCGTCGGGTGATAAAAGGGAGGCGCGCGACAAGCGAGCGCCGTCCCCAGGTGTTTAAAATGAGTTCGCGGGTCGTTCTGCTATGCAGGTTTCGACAATGATCCTTCCATAGGTTCACCTACGGAAACCTTGTTATGACTTCTCCTTTCTCTAAATGATAAGGTTTAATGGACTTCTCACGATGTCGCGGGCAGTGAACCGCCCACGTCGCCGCGATCTGAACATTTCACTGGATCATTCAATCGGTGGGAGCAACGGGCGGTGTGTACAAAGGGCAGGGACGTAGTCAACGCAAGCTGATGACTCACACTTACTAGGAATTGAGCGTTAAAGACCAACAATTGCAATGATCTATCCCCATCACAATAAATTTTCAAAGATTACCTGGGCCTGTGGGCTAAGGCTATAAGCTCGTTGAATACATCAGTGTAGCACGCGTGCAGCCCAGAACATCTAAGGGCATCACAGACCTGTTATTGCCTCAAACTTCCGCGGCCTAAAAAGTTGTAGTCCCTCTAAGAAGCTGTCCGCGAAGGGATACCTCCGCATAGCTAGTTAGAAGGCTGAGGTCTCATTCTCTAACGGAATTAACCAGACAAATCGCTCCATCAACTAAGAACGGCCATGCACCACCACCCATAGAATCAAGAAAGAGCTCTCAGTCTGTCAATCCTAACTATGTCTAGACCTTGTAAGTTTCCCCGTGTTGAGTCAAATTAAGCTGCAGGCTCCACTCCTGGTGGTGCCCTTCCATTAATTCTTTTAAGTTTCATCCTTACGACCATACTCCCCCCGGAACCCAAAAACTTTGATTTCTCATAAGGTGTCGGCGGAGTCCTAAAAGCATTATCCGCCGATCCCTGGTCGGCATTGTTTATGGTTAAGACTAGGACGGTATCTGCTCGACTTTGAGCCCCAACTTTCGTTCTTGATTAATGAAAATATCCTTGGTGCTTTCACAGTTGTTCATCTTTCATAAATCGAAGAATTTCACCTCTGAATATGAAATATGAATGCCCCCGACTATCCCTGTTAATCATTACTCCGACCCCGAAGGACAACATAATAGGACTGAAATCCTATAATGTTATCCCATGTTAATGTATACAGAGCGTAGTATCACGGACTTAGAGTAATCGCTAAGACTCCGTGCGGCACTTGACAACTTACTCATGATTATTTCACGATCTCGTAAGCTCAAGTAAGCCTTTAAACTTGGAACTCTAAGAGAATATAAAGAAAGAAAAAGAAAGACTTTGGAAGAGAGGACTTGTATTAGATTGTTGGATGAGTTACAAATGAGAGCCCTCTATTTATACTACTCCCTAAGGGTCTAAGAGGAAATAAATATTACAAGTCCCGAAGCAATTACATGTTCTACGTTCCGTAGAATATGTCTCTAGCTCTTCCAAAAGGCTCCTAGAATTCTCTAGTCTGCCCCAAGGATCTAGAAGGCTCTAGAGTCTTCTACAAACCTCTCCAAGGCTCTAGGGCCGTCTGCCCCATTCGGATGCTGCAAAATGGCCAGAATTGTGGCGTGTCCTCACACTCCTCTCTACCTAATGATGCGGCAACCGCGACGCATCACTGCAAAAATTCCTGGACTTTGTCCTTGAACTGCCACAATTCTTCGTACTTCTCCCACGTGGCTTCTTCAGGAGTTTGTCCCTTCCAATGTACGAGGAAAATATCGTTGTCTTATTGTCCTCGTTTCCGTTTGGCTTTGTAATCTATGATGGCTTCAATTTCTCGGTCATGCGATTTATTGACAGTGATAGGGGCCCGTTGTGATTTGTTCCGGGTGGATCTTCAAGTGTGGAGGTAACTCCAACTTGTATGAGATTTTTCCCACCTTGGCAACAATCTTGAATGGACCCTCATATTTACGCACTAAGTTGTGATGGACGCCTCTTAGTTCCTTAAACTGCCTCGGATTAAACTTTACCAAAACCATATCGCCTTCTTGGTAGTCTGTGGGACGACGCCTTCGGTTGGCGAACTTTTTCGTCCTCTTTGCTGCCTTGTCCAAGTAAGACTCGGCAGTATCAAGTTGTTCTTCCAATACCTTGGCAAGATGGTAAGCGCCCAAACTCTTCCCCTCAAACGTAGTTGGTAGTGAATGCGGAGTTTGGGGTTGCTGACCCGTTGCCAACTCGAATGGTGTGCGTCCGGTGGATTCACTCCTCTGAAAATTATAAGAAAATTGCGCTATGTCTAGGAGCTTAGCCGAATCTTTCTGGTGCGCACTGACGTAGTGCCTAAGATAGCACTCTAACAAAGCGTTGACGCGTTCAGTCTGGCCGTCGGTTTGCGGGTGGAAACTTGTGGAAAAGTGAATTCTTGTGCCAAGAATTTCGAAGAGTTCATTCCAAGTATGATCTCAAATTCACCAAGCGGCATCACCATCAAGTCATGTTTTCCCACCCAACTTCAAATCTACATAGACACACCATAAGCCATGCCCACAATGGCTTGTGCCTTAGCATTGACGGTTTTGACATAGGAAGGGGTTTTAGACAACTTTAGCCCCAATTTTGTAGCAATTTTCACATCTACAAACATATGAGTGGCCCCTGTATCAACCATTGCCATCACACGTTGTTCTTTCACTTTCATTTCTATATGAATTAGGGAAGCATGAGGATTAGAAGTACTAGCCATTTCTCCAACATTATTAATCCCTGTAATATGATTGAAGGACAATCCCAATGGGTTTGCCATTGCAGCCACGATTTCTTCATCCTCCTCCCGTTGATTCATATTTCCAGCAAGCAAAGCATTCAGTTTTTCCCAGTTTGGACAAGATTTGGCCAACTGAGGACCGCCACAAGTCCAACAACCCTTAGAATTTCCATCTTTGTTCTTTGGCCTATCTTTCACATCCTTCATTTGTAACTTTCCTTTGTCATTTGTATTGTCCTTACGACTATCCTTTTTCCATTCCTCTTTCTTCTCATTCTTTTTCTTAGTTTTTGAAGTGGAGGGAACATCTTTCAAAGGACGAGTCCTCCGGAAATCAACCAACGAATCTGCAGTAGCAATTCCACCGGGCAGATCTTTAACATTCTGCCTCCGTAGTTTGTTTTGAGCCCAGCCTTGCATACCCGAAATGAAGTTGTCTAATTTATCCTCATCAGATATATTATGTATGTCTAACATCACAGAGGTAAATTATTTAATGTATTCCCTCACCGAACCCGTCTGCCTTAGCCTTTTCAATTTATCCCTTGCAAGCCAAGATGCGTTGCTAGGAAGAAATTGAATCACTCATTTCTTTTATTAACTTATCCCATTTATCAATTACAAGACGACCAGCACTTACATAATCTGAATTTCGAGTCCTCCACAAAAGTTTAGCATCACCCGTTAAATACATTGTGGTAATATTTAACTTGTCATCGTCAGGCACCCTTGCAGCAGTAAAATACTGTTCCATGTCCCAAATGAAATTTTCCAGTTCTTTAGAACTTCTTGCACCACTAAAGGCCTTAGGTTCTAGAATGTTAACCTTAGATGATTCAACACGATTTGAACTCAACGTAGCCACAGCCCGACACAATACAACGAGCTCTGCACGAAGGTTCTCATTTTCCTTCAGCAGTCCCTCAAGTTTTTGCGTAGTAGTGGTACGAAAATCCAAGATTTCAGTGATATGATTATCAACATCCTGTCGATATACACCATTCCCCCCCTGAACTTTCTCAGCATCAAGTCTCAAATCAATGACTTGTGTAAATAAATCCACAAACGTAGGAACTCAAAAAATATCATCAGTAAACCCAACGAAGGATTCAATTTTTCATGCCAGTTCCCGCAGTTCTGCGTTCTTCACCATCGTTCAACCGTGCTCTTATACCAATTGAAATAGGGCCAATTTTTTTTTACCCAACACCACTCTAGGCAGTCTTACAAACGTCTGCAACACTCAGCCTACTTTACACCCATGAAATTGACTAAGTATAGAAATACTTAATCATCAAAGTTCACTAGCAAGAAGACATTACAAGAACTTGTCCCAACCTTTAATAATCCGTAATTAATACAAAGGAAGGCTTCATGAATTTGTCTAAGGCTAAAAACACTCTGCCTAAGCCTTAGATGAATTTCCAGCCTTAATAAAAATTCTGTACAATGGCAGTTACATGCGGCAGTTACAAATGACACTTGTCCGACACTTGTCATCACAGGGTTCAAAACTAAGTTTCCAACAGCTATATTTCCAACAGATAGAATCTAATTCAAATTACATTCTTATCTACATGAAATACTAATATTATAACACTTAGAATATTTCAAGCTTCATTCCAACACTTAGAATATTTCAGCCAGCTTCCAACACTTAGAATACTTTATCTGTCCTCCAACACTTAGTTTTATTTCACCAATTCGGGTGAATTGCCTTTGTTCTTGACATTGTCAAGTCTTCACAGCCTTGCCTTGTCATGCAAACATGTTGTCTTGCAAATTCCCTTAGCCCGCACGTAAGCCATGCACGTTCAAGCTACGTTGCCAACACCCAAGCACCTTAAACTTGTGTTGCACTGTTTTTCCATCATACATGTCAAGACCAATGCCCAAGTCCTTGACATGTCTGCACGTAGTTAGATCCAGTAGTTTGCGGGTCTAACAGTAGGCCACTATCCTACGATCAAAAGATGATAGGGAATGAATTTTAATGATGCGTTGCCGGCACGATGGTCGTGTGAACCGTCGAGTTAATTATGAATCATCGGAGACACGAGCCGAGCCCGCGTGGACCTTTTATCTAATAAATACATCCCTTCCAGAAGTCGGGGTTTGTTGCATGTATTAGCTCTAGAATTACTATGGTTATCTGAGTAGTAGATACCATCAAACAAACTATAACT